TACTCCGCACCGAGATGCGCTGTGCACGGGAAAAGCGCCCCAGGTTTAGACAATGTGGAGCAGAAAGGAGGATGCAAGACGTTTCCTTAGTATGTTTAAATATCGGTTACATATTAAAGTGACAATATTTTGACGGAAACCAATCACATTATTCCAGCTCCTAGTGACCCCGTGAGACTAAGCAGAACTGCCCCTTCAGGTTTCTGAGACTGTCCATCTTGACAGAAGCCGACTACCACCTCTTTGTCCCGTGAAGCAGCGAATGGATTCTGCCCTCTGACCTTTTGTGTCGCGGCCTAGCACTTAACCATGGCGCCAACAGGGCTGCTTAATTTCTTGGGCTAAGTAAAATATATTAATAAATGAATGCTGCCAATTTAATGCTGCTTCCCTAACGTGGCTACTTGGAAAGCAAAGCCTACCCCTGCCTGGTGTTCCTGGCTCACACGTCTGTTGGACAGTGCTGCGGAGCCCTTCCTTACAGGACCTCTTAACCGCTTCTGGGTTCGAATGTGGATCCTTCCTTTCCAAATCCCCTAAACTGCCTCTTTCCTCCCCTGGGTGGTGAACTTCAAGCACACAGTTTGAGCTGATGCTGCAGGAGGAACAGACGTTTCGTTATCCCCAGCGATCGTCTGTCAGTGGGTTTCTTACCTGGCTCTTCGGAAGGAGAGAGTGGAAAGAGGATTCCCAGTGTTGGGGCTGCGAACACCGCACAAATGTGGCAGACTGGCACGACCTGCATGCGAGGTTCCCGTCCGGCCTGCAGTTCCCTCCAGACCGCCCTGCTCCCTGATGATTGCTGGCTTCGAAGAAAGCAGTCTGGTTTCAGATGACACTTGTTCCCCGGAGAGTTGATCATTAGAGTATTTCTATAATTGCCATTTGCTTTTCTCCTGTGCTAAATTTGGCTCTCGGCTTAAATCCCAAGATTTGTCCCCACTTCGAATATCAGAAAAGATTTCAACAAATTAGAAACCGGGCCCTCTCTCAGAGCCTGGGCCCTGAGGGCAGGGACCGTACAGCTGACTGCAGATTTCCTCTGGGCCACATGCTCAGGCCTCGGCCCCATGTGCCCACACGGGTCCCACGGGGCAGTGATGCCCCTCAGGTGCTGTCGCTGGGATTGAGGAAAGGAAAGTGCTGGTGGCATGGTTTCTGAAAGGGACTAATTTCAGGACTGACCGACTGAAAGACGGTTTGAAGTAGAAGCTGGTTTCTTGTTTGTTTTTAATTCATTTCTGCTGTTAATGAAAATCAGTGTGGTTCTCTCAGCCAGAAAAAGCAATATTAACTTGATCTTCCCCCACTAATAGGAGTTGCTCTGAAGCCTACCGCATGCCAGTGGCGGAATACAAGATGAACGAAGGGGTTTCCTACGAATTCAAATTTCCTTTCCGAAATAACAACAAATGGCAGAGGAGTGCCAGTAAGGGGCCGCACTCGCCTCAGGCCCCCTCCCAAGTGCAGAGCCCCATGACCGCTCGGCTGAACGCTGGGAAAGGAGACGGGAAGATGCCTCCCCCGGAAAGAGCCGCCAACATTCCGAGAAGCATCTCCAGTGATGGGCGTCCCCTGGAGAGACGGTGAGTGGCCCCCTCAAAGCTGTGTTCAAAGTCCATGCCCAGCATGACCTCAAGCCAAGCCAGGGAGCCCTGGCTTTAGGCCTTCCCTGGGTTTGCTAGACTTCCAGAATCGGAACTTGAGTAATTGACAGTGCTTGTGTCACTTTGTTAGTAAGGAACGGGCACTCTCGTGCCCTCTGAAGCCATCGGCTAAAGGAGGGTATGTTCCAGACCACAGCCCGTTCTCTCCACGGTGCCTTGGTGCCTTGCTTGTAAACCATCTCCCCACCCCCACCCC